GGGAGAGCTTAACCAACGGTGATCTTGGATAAGGAAATTATTGAGGACGCCAATAGGAAAGAAACGGCGGAGGAAGAGGACAGCGGGTCGGATGGGAGATGTGAAGAAAACAAAACGAAAAGGCGTTTAAAAAAAAGGAAAAACAAACGTAATCTACATGAACGTAGGACGAAATCAGAACAATGGAAAACCAATTGAGAAGAGGAGAAGGGAATTAGGACCAGACACGACAGGCCAGGACACGAAGACGCGGATCTGCCGATTTCCCTGATTAGCCTACACACAGGAAGATTCCTGCCGCCCAATGACCAGAGGGCCTAATCAATCAATGGGCTGAAGATGGGAGGATTAAGGGCTTGAGGGGAGAAAACCGGCAACCAAGGAACGTGGACAAGCGACCGGTCTGTCATGAGGGCAGGACTAGCCTCCCACTAATAAGCGCGCCAAAATGGCAAATATAAGGCGTACACCATCGCACAGGTTGCCTTTCTTACACTCGCTCCACATTTCTTTCTTGTTCTTTCTTGTTCGTGGAAAAAAGACAAAAACCCCAAGCCCTAACACAAACGGCGAACATTTTCGCCCCACTCTCACACCCTCCCTTGGGCGCCGCTCTGGGGGCAGTAAGCCCTCAGAAATGCGCCACGTGGCACTCAGCCCTAGCTTAGAGACTACCTGAGACCGCATCGGCGACGATGACGCATTTAACAACGGGCCCCATCGACAGTTTGAAGGGCATCTCCGCGCACAACGTGCGCACCCACCCCGTCAGACAGCTTCACTCCCTTGCTTCCTCCGCAGTAGCTTGCGCGATCAGAGCCGCGAACAACCAGTGTGCCGCAGCAGCGCGCAGGCGGGCCCGGCTCGATCCGCCGTCTACCGGTAGGTAGACATAACTCATCATTGAAAGGTCGCTGGTGATCACTGCACCAATTCAAAAAACAGGGCGAAATTCGTCGTATAGTACGGCCGCGGGGGTGTCTGTGCCTGTGTCGTGGTTGTGTGTGCGCGAAAGAGAGGGAGAGCTGGTCGCGCGCGCCCAGCGCCACCGCTGCTGCAGGCCGCGACCGGCCCTACTGCGCGCCGCGAGGGCGCGCCAACCGCCTCGGTTGCTCCCCTCGCAACTGCGCCCCCGGCCCCGCTCCCGCCCCACTCAGTAACCAGCTTCACACGCGGCGTATAAGCACAGAGCCAGAACAGCGAAATCACGATGACAATACCTCAAGTCGACAAGGAGATGGCAGCGAAGACACCAGTGCGGGCTATGACAGTCTCTCCGCCCCCTTCTCCACCCCCCACGACACACCCAACCCACCCACGACACACCCAACCCACCCTCTCGCCCTTCTCCCCGTACAATAAGCACAAAAGAGCACGAGCACCGCACATGGTTCACACAGGCACGACGTGTTTTCCTTCCCAGAGGCGCCAGCTCA